TCCGACAATCAAACTGGTTTAGATGTTTTCAGTCTCGCCTTCCTCAGTAGTAATCGGTTACATTGATGTACCATTTTTGCATTTTCAAAGCTATTCTTAATATGCAAGTTTTTTAAAAGTGGCAAGTGGTTGGTCATCACGGAGGCTAGTTAGCATTATGGCCAATTTATCTGAACAAATTTTTGTGCTACATTTGGAGAACCCCCACCAAAAAATTATTTATTTTAAGAAATTATTAGCATTTTGTGAAAATGCATCGTCCACTGGCAAACTAAGCACAAAACAATCCGAACTTTTTTAATTTTTTAGCAAAAACTTTCATGAGAATTGTGGAATCACTCTTTTTAAGTCTAGCAATTTTTTTTTGGTTAACTAAGTACTTTTTTTTTCTTTACAAACTCTTCGATTACTTTACCTACTGGAGCATTTTGTAATTTTTCTGGTTCAGATCTTTCTTCTTCCTGTTTATATCGAGATGCTCGTTTGAAGCGGGAACTACGGTTGTGATTAAAGAGAACTACGCGAATTATATGAACATGCTTAGAATGTTTTAACTCATTTACGGAACCACACTGATGGTTTTGTAAATTTTTAGGACGGATTACTGTGTAAATTTATGAAGTTTATACTTTACTCATCCGTGTGTTGAAATAAAAATATCAAAAAATTAGAAATGTGTTTAAAAATAGAAATAATTTCTTGAATCGTTTTAGAACAGAATTTATGAAGCTTATATTTTGCTCATCCATGAATTGAAATAAAAATATCAAAAAAGCGAAAGGTAAAAGCATTTGAAAAATAGAATTAATTTTTAGTTTCAATTTTATTATTAGTTTTAATTTTATAACTTTTGGTACTGATTCTTGAATAAATTTATGAAGTTTATTTATGAATTGAAATAAAGTCATAAAAAGATAGAAATGTAAAATTAATCAACAAATATTAGTTACAATATTCATTTTTAGTTCCTATTTTGAAAATTATAGAATCGATTCTTGTATAAATTAATGAAATATATCTTTTACTTGCACTGAAGAAAAACGTTTTTGTTTCATTTATACAAGTACTTCATCATACCTAATTAGGATGTGGGGATTTCAAATTTGAAATTAGTTTTGTCCGGAAAGCTCCAGATATTTTTTAATATGATATTTTTAGTTTAGTTCATGTTTTGTCTGAATCTACAAGTTTATATATAACGTATAGATTTATATACATATAAATAGAAATTATGAAAATAGAATAAATTATAAAAATAGAATAAATTATAAAAATAGAATAAATTATAAAAATAGAAATAAATTAAAAAATATATATACTTGTCTATTCCTTTGATAATAACACTTAAGGCAAAAGAATGACCTCAGCTTATCGCATCATACCACTCCCTACGTAGCAGAGAACGGGGGGCACTTATTATTCACTCGCGTGAATTTTAAAAAATTCTGTTTAGGAATATATTGTTGAATTGCATTAAAACTATATCTGCAGATTTGGAAGCAGCGTTGTAAAATGATCTAAAATCGATTCAAAAATCTAATGCAATAGAAAACGAAATATATTGTTCCCCTGTGTTGTCTATGAACTGCAATAAAAATATCAAAGAGAAAAGAGTTAGTGTGATAAGAAAGTTAATTTGCAAACATCAGTTTAGTTAGAGTTTTTAAAACATAAACAATAATAATATAAAATATAAATTATTTCGATAATGCACACTCAGGTAAAGAGCCAGAAACTTTATCTGACACCAAAATAAAATAGGGAATAACGGCTATAGTTAAAGAAGCATTGTATGCAATATTAATAATATTTAACGTACAAGGAGTTAAAAAACGGACCATTCTGAATAACTTTTGATATAATGATGGGATCTTCATTTTCTAGGACTCAATCTATATGGTTCGAGGATTTAATCTCAAAAATGCTTATTAATTAGAGCAGACGATATTTTAAGTTCCAAAATCAGACACAAAAACGTACTTTCTCCGAATAAGCATACCTTCTTTCGACAGATTCGGATTTCCGACTCGCAAATTATAGGAAGTAGCCGAATATGGTCCCAATAGTTTGAACAGGAGGGCTGTCGAAAGTTTAGACCCTTTAATGCTAACTTTATTTGCTGCTTATTTCGCTATATGTTGAGAACCCTTTAAACTAATTGAAAAACGTTTGCACACAATTTTATCCAAAAGTAATTACATGCAAAAAAGAACTTTTAGTGAACATTACTAATTTTTTATTATTTTGTTTAATAATAGTAGAAAAATGTTGCATTATAAGATGTAAAATTTTTTACATCATTTTTAAGTTAAGTAGAAAGCGTTAAAGTTAAGCTAAGTTTCTCCACATAAGTTAGAATGTTAATTAACATGAAGTTAATTAAATACAGCGCCGTATCGCACATCGAATTTGTTGAATTATAATTCTTTCTCGTCTACATCTCTATTTAACTTAGATTTATTATTTGTTTATGTATATTATTGTAATCGTGATATATTTTTGTTTTGTGTACTTGGTAACTTCGATTCATAATTAGTTTACGTATGTTTTAAGTATCTTAATGCCTGTCTTTGTGTCAAGGAAGAAATATATAGTGAAAGAATTGAAATTATCATTTATTCAAGAATCTTTGTGTAAGAATATAGAATGTGTCACTTAAGAAAATTGGTACTTGACTTTAGTCTATCACTTTATAAAATATTTCTCAAAAAGCGTAGTAGTTGGCAGCCCTGCATCTTTATAATCTTAAAAATTTACTATATTTGTATTATTCTGCTTCCGGCTCGTACGGACCACAGTGCTGACGTAAAATATCCACAGTGGTAGACAAATCATTGGTTAAGATTTTCTTGCCATCGGGCTAACCGGGTGAGGTTATCGTGATTTTTTTTCTCCATCTGAAGCAAATTCCTGGTTAGTTCTATCAAAAAGTCCTCCACGAAGGCTAGTGTGTGCCAGTGCTTGATCCAGGATTTTGCTTGTCTTCTGGATTCGATTCAAAATTACAAGGCTACGGTGATAGTCATAAACTCAGAATACTGTTCAACGCCGATTATAAAGTAAAATATGTCTGCTTAAATAATTTAAAAATATGATATTTTGTAATGTTCGCTTCATCCCCTTAAAATATAAAACAACTATATTTTAATTTTTCTAAAAAAAATCACGTCCGGGTCACCAATCTGGGGAGAGTAGTTATCGACAATGTCTACATTCATCTATGAAAAAGTAGCCCATCGTAGAATTGAGTTAACATGTCTTACATACTAGGAAATTGGAATTGTATTTTGGTAGTGGTAGATACACTACAGATTCATTGCCAGTCAATGGTTTAAAAATGACGATATTCCTTTGATTCGTGATAAACAAGAACTGGATTGAATAGAAGACTTTAAGTTGAAGGGCATTTGGTTAAAAACATAATCGCACATGTGATTCAACATTTTTGACGCGTGCATTTCTTATTTTTGTGTGTATATTTAGATAATTTATTTTATCCTCAATCTAAATTGTTTAAAAGTACATATTTCCTCTTACAAATTTTGTCTGATGAATTTAAACTCCCATGGCGCATTGTAAAACCTGATAAGTGTTTTCAATTTCCTTTTCAAACCTAATAATTCGAAATAGCCTTGACAATTATAATAGCCTCTTTGATCCCTTGAAAAGCGTGAAGACTAGTTGATGTCTGTTTTCTTTCCTTGATTTTAGTTCAATGTAATTTTTCAAAATAATATTTAAATGAAAGCTTGTAAAAATGCGCCAGGTAGGAAGTTTTGTTGCTGATTTTATTTCTGTTTGGGTTAAAAAATGTTTCGAATTTGCAAACAGTGACTTAACTTTCGCCATGATATTTTTTCTTTCGTCAATTTTCTCATAATATTCAGTCAAAATTTTAATTCGGGTTTGAAAAAAATATATTATTAAAATGTTACAGTGAAAAAAAATACCTAATAGAGTTAGCTATGAAAGTTTTGCATTTCATGAAAAAGTATCTGTATTATATTCATTTGTAAGTATATGCATTATACGAATATGATGATGATGATTCAGCATATGCATATGTTGAAGTGTATGTGCATTATATGCATATGAGAACAGAACTTTCACTCCCATATCTACCAATTTATACTGTCTATCAAAAAGGAAAATTTCAGTGGTAGCAACATATTTGTTTTAAATCTTGATTTTTAAAATTAATCGATACGAATTCCGCACCTGACTCGCATCGACTACAGTACTGACGCAAAATAACCACAGTGGTAAATAGATCATGGGTTCCCCTTGCCTTCAGGCTAGCCATGGGTGTTTTTCCTCTCCATATAACTGAAAGGCGAATTAGTTCCAGTTCCATCAAAAGATCCTCCACGAAGGCAAATTTCTCCCAATACTCGATCCAGGAGTTCCCTTGTTTTCTAGATTGAGTTTAAAATTGCAAGGCTACGGAGTTGAACATTGGTAGTCTGGTAGTCGTAAACTCAAAATTGGGTCGGCTGTTCAACGATAGTTATAAAATAAAATAATTCTTAACTAAACTTTGAATGTAATTACTATAAGATAGCTAGTTATTTTCTCCTATTAACAAAAAAAAATTCATTTCATTGTGGTAAGTGTATGCAGTGTTTCAATTTGTTTCTACCTTTTCATCCTAATTATTGACCTTTCCGTACATTAAAATAGAATTATTGACTACAAATATCCGAATATTTTCGTTTCATATTATAATTTTAATTTTTTGAGGTAAGTGTAAGATAGGCCGCAGTTATAAACCATGCAGGAAAGAGCACTTAAGTCTATGTACTACTTGACTGATTTAGAATATACTGAAAATATGTACAAGGTTATTTATCAAATTGCTAAAACACAATTTTTCTACTTTTTTCTTGGAGCTTCTCATTGTTTACAAATGAGACTTGTTCTTGTTCAAATTTGTAGATTTGCTACTAATTAGTCTTTTCAGGTGTTTTAAACAATATTTTAATGTATTCCTTTCTTTTTAGGGCAGAATGGAGATGTAGTTTTGCCACAGACATACATAGTCAAATATTTAGGAACCCGAGACGCAAGAGGCCTATGGGGCATAAAACACACACGCCATCCTGTGGACGAATTAGTGGCACAAGCCAGATCTTTGCAATGTGGCACCACCCTGCCTTACCTACGGCTTGAAGTGTCCGGTAAGGGCGTGTACCTATCCGCCATGCCACAAAACCAAAATCAGAATTTCACACCTGGTCTATACCCTATTGAATCCATTTCATATGGTGTCCAGGATCTTGTGTATACAAGGGTATTTGCCATGATAGTTGTAAGAGACGGGGGTAATATGCTGGACAAACATCCTTTTCTCTGTCACGCTTTTGTCTGTGACAGTCGACAGAATGCCAGATCATTAACTTTGACTTTAGCCAAAGCCTTTCAAGACTATAGTAGATCAGTCAAAGGCTTACCTTCCCCAAGGAAGTTTGCTATTGATCTTAGAAGTCAAGAAGAGATTCAAGCGGATCTGGAAATACCTCAAGAATCGCATGCATAATGAAGTGTGTTATTGATAATTATGGACCGATTCTCGCAACAGACGATCGATTTCGACAGTGAGAATGACGTCAGAGACAATTTACAGTTGATATTTCATCGCTTCAGAAGTAATAGAGCTGTTAAAGACATTTTTTTGTATCTTCGCGTCACTGTAAATAGGTCTTAAGATGAGTGAATTGGTGTGTTTCACGAGACGGAGCTTTGGAGCCCGCTAAATAATTTCCTCAACTTTTTAAGAAGTTAATCGTTTACCGGTTAACGATTTTTAATCGTTTAACCATTGATTTTTCGGTTGAACCAAGTGATAATTTTCATATAACGTCATTAATCTTTATTTAATAATAATTCGCTTACAATATTTTAGTAAATATTTCTTTCAGAAAATTAAAATTCATTAAAAAAGTTAATAATGAAATATATTTTACTTTTTTTGCAAACTTGTGGAATATTCCAACTGAATGTTCTATTTACCAACCAATCATATTCTCATTTTCTAATGTATATTTTACATAAACTTTTATTTGGATAATAAAGTTACAAAAAAATATTGTCGGTGCAGCGTTGGAAAACATTAAATATTAAAGTGAGAAGTTTGCTTTCAAAACATTTGAATTTAATACAAGATTTTTTTATTCGTAACAAAAAAAATAAGGAAAGAGCACCTCCACTCCTTTATTTCGTTAAAAACTGTTTAAACTTTTCGGTTTGTTTAAAAACGGCATCGTTAAAACAGTTTGGAGCGGGCTCCTAAAGCTCCATCTCAGGGAACTGGCCCAATACTTAAGAAAGATGTCTGAGAACGTTAGTTGCGAAAACAACACGCCAACCTGCCCATTTGCAAATAGAAGATTTGATCTTAGAAGGATGGAAACTTAAATTTATAACACACTATGAAAAAGGTATTAGATGGTTTGATATTAATTATCTCTATCTGTACACCATAAAATGTGGTTCAAATTAGAAAAACGTTAGGTAAAAACAACGTTTAAATTTCAACGTTATGTAAAACATTTGAATTCGATAATGTTTGATCTAAGTTAAGTTAAATCTGAAAAATCTGATTTACTTTTTCAATATTTAACAAAAAATTAGGTTAATGTATAGAAAACTTAACCTTCTGCAGTCAGAGTACTTCAATAAGCTGTTTGAAGTAATGCAAACACTAAATGATTTAAATTACATAGTTTACGATTTCTAATATTCAAAAAATAATGTGTGACAATGAAAGACAAAAATTCTCAATTTTGAAGCTAAATTTTAAATTTCTTCTTCTAAATTTAAGATTTGAGAATTTCGATTTTACTGTATAGGTATCAGCAGAATTCAAAAGGTTAAAACCGCTAGATTTCGATTTTTAATGTTTTTCATAAGTAAAATATGGAAATAATTCTATCCGAGATCGAAATAGTTATATTATAGAATTAGGAATCCCTAAGATTGTTTTACAGTTCTAATATTTTAATAACGTAAAAGTGTTTACATTTGTTTTTCTAATTGATTGAAACACTATTAAAAACTAACTAATCAGCAGTCTAAACTTCAAAATATATCTAAATTTCTTTAAAATCGAGACAACATATCAAAATTATAGTAACAGAGAATTAACCCCTTGACTTATCATTTTGAAACTCAAAACTGGGCGGAATTATTAATTTCTTGATATAGAAATGATCTTTGATAGCACTGTAAACAACTCGAAACGGAATGTTGAAAGTTGAAGACGTCTGAGACACGTCAATTATTGTTTTGACATAAGAAACAAATGACGTCTTTCAGACGTCTTCGTATTTCAAGGGGTTAATTCCTTAGTTATAATGGAAAATAAATAGTAAATTAAATTACATGAAATTTAATTGCTATCTAATAGTAATTTAATTTTAATTTAATGGTAAATTTAATATTATGTAACAGTAATTAAATTAGTGAAATAATATTTTAAAAAAATTAAACATCTGAAAAAATTAGGTCAATATAGAAAGCATAAAACCGCTAGCTTTCGATTTTTAAATGTTTTTAATAAATAAAATATGGAAATATCTATCAGAAATTGAAATAGCTATGTTATAGAATTATTAATCTCTAAGATTGTTTTACAGATTTAATATTTTAATAATAACGTAAAAGCGTTAACATTTTATTTGAAATTGATTGAAGCATTATTAAAAATTAACTAATCAGCAGTCTAAACTTTACAAAGTAATTATAATGTTTTTAATTTCCCCCCAAAAAATCTAGATAATACACCTAAATTGCATTAACAGAGAGTAATATCTTCCTTAGAATTAGGAAGAAATAGTAAAAAGATTGTCAGTTGAGTGCAAAAAACTAAAATCAATGTTTACCTCATACATAAGACTTTCATCATTTAATTTATTTAAAACATAATTGATTGAAACATTGTTTAAAATTAATTAATCACCAGTGTAAACTGTAAAAATAATTAGAATTTTTGAAAAAAATTTTTCGTTAAAATCTAGATAATATATCTAAATTATAGTAACAGATAGTTAATTATAAATAATAGTACGTAACAGAGAGTAATTTTTGTTAGAATGGAGAAGAAACAGTGAATTAAAAAGACTGTGAGTTGAGGGCAAAAAACTAAAGTTTTTTTTATTTTTTTTTATCTCATACATAATTTTTCATCGCTTACTCAGCTTCGGGCTTTTCGTACATTTTTTTTACTTAACCCTTTTGAATATAAGTAGGCCCAATCGTTAAAGTGTACCATCATACCAACATAACGCAGCCTGGAATGCTGTAATATGATGGTATCTGAGCATTTGTAATTTCCTTTTGATTTTATTATTTTAAAAAAGGGAAAGATTGTGATATTCAATTGTAAATAAAGTATTTTTTAAAAAAATAAAAGACTTCCAATTTTTCAATGTGTTTTTACTGTCGCTACATTAACAGCATTATCGTTATTTATTTTTTAAATTACTTATAGGTTTTCACAAACACTAATTGAAAAGTTTAGTGCAATAGTAAAACCTGAATAATTGTAAAGATTAGAATAATAGTGTAAAAATTATATTTTTGAAGAAAAAAAATGTCAATTTTGAACGAAGTGACACTTTTGGAGAGAATTCAGATCAGGGTTGGATTAAGATATGGTACGGCATGGGATTGATTTGCAACATGGTGCCTTACATATATCTAATTAGCCAAAATGATTCTATATTCAGAAATATCGAAACTTTTTAAGAAACTGAATTCAAGTTGCGTTTGTTTCAAAGAAATTCAAAAAGAAAAAGCTTTATTAATTTTGTCAAAACTAATTACATTAAATATTAAAATACAATTAAATATTTATGTAAGCTAAAATGTCAGGTATCAAGTTGTTATTGTTAAGTAGTAGTCAGACTTATCTAAAATACCAATTTAAAAAATCGAATACGGCAAATTAGAATTTTTTGATTTTATTAAATTTTTGCCGGCCGAAAACACTAAGAAATTTTAAATACTTTCTAGAGGATTAAAGAAAATTAATCACAAAGCTCAAGCACTTGTGACTTGAAGCAAAAGCAAATAATACTTGAAATTAGGGAGTTGGGTGAGGTGTTATGTAAGTAAATAACATGACCGAATATTCATTTTTTATTGTCTTAATTTTTTTAGTTTTACACTCAAAATACATAATACATTTACAATTATTCTAACTTAACGCTTAAAAACATCATATAAAGTTTTAGAAAATTCTCGCAAATCAATTTTAGCTTCAAAAACTTGAGGGGCCCTTTAAAAAATTTGGGACCTGGGGCTGCAGACTCAGTAGCCCCCTCCTCACCCGGCCCTGATTGAGATTTGTCGGAGAAAGTTTTATTTTTTATGCAACTACATGATGAAAATTAATTATTTCACCTCATAACCAAACTTCGTAAATCTCAGTAGATGAAGGATACTAACTGACAATACTTCGTTTTCGGAAATTCCCGTTAAAATTTGACAAGAAATTGCCTCTCTTTTGAACGCAGATTCAAGCACGAAAGCCATGATGCGAGCAATTTAAGTGACTGTTACATATCTATATTTAAGTCGTGCGGAAAATAATGACACAAATATTGTCACAGAGTAAAGTAATGTTAATTAACAAAAAACTATTATTACGCCAGATATAAATTCCAACCAACGTGAAATCACTTCTGTCATTGGCTTTGGTTTACCAAGTCGAATAGCTCTATGGGGATATTGGTGTATTAGCTATGGAGTATGGATAGTTAAATACGATTTTACTGAAGATTGAATGGGTTGGTCTTTTATCAAACAAAGCGTAGTTCGAGGGGCGTGATCAACAAAACCGACAAAGCTGCCATACTGACGTGATGGCACTGATTGTCCCAAACTGACATTATTTGCCACGGTCTCTACTCGTTGCTGAACTTAGATAACTAGCTGTAGACAATACACATTGAGGGTGTAAGGTCTGTTAAAGGTCCAAGATTGGTGGAAACTTTCTTTTCTTGGAACTTTGATCGTATAAACCATAATCTGAGTTTTTGGTTCAAGGTCTTGGATCAGCGTGTTCTTTCCAGTCAAAATTTTCTCATTTAACCAATCAGCTTCTAAATTTTCATGACGTCAGCGAGTATGCCTCTGATCACGTCATTTTGCTGAAATATATTAATCTGTTAGGATGTATATGTGGTATTATTAATTTAATAGTATTTAGTTTGTAATTTTAGATTCATGTAAGTGTCATTTTATAATGTTGAATATGAACTATGCTCATCTGAAAGCTTTTCATCCAACCTATCAGTGACACTAAGGAACTTGGGTAGTGCTGACGAATTATCCAATTTCTTGGGCAGAGAAATTCCTCCAAGTCCACAAATTCAAGAACTTGGACCGTATAAGCAGCCCTATAGTTTCGTTCTAACGCATCGACACCATGCAATAATGGATTTTACTATTCCATTTTGAAAAAAAAAACTGGTAATAAGAACCTCAGATAAAAATTTTATAGCTGCTAATAAGTTGTGGCAGTCACGTATCGTCCTTTCCATTTCAAGAAAAAATATATAAATTAAATGTTCTTACTACCGGTTTTTTTTCTTTTCCTTTGATATGCACCAAAATTAACCTTTAGAGGTCGAAAACATAAAGTTACAGGAAGCATAAGATTGCATTAGGGTAGAAAAATTTGTGAGTTGTCAGATCAGCTCATCTTGATACAATGGAATCTTGTTTTATTCTGTTGTTGCTGTTGTTAATTTACGTCGCACTAGAGCTGCACAATGGGCTACTGGCGACGGTCTGGGAAACAACCCGGAGGATGATCCGAAGACATGCCATCACAATTTTGATCCTCTGCGGAGGGGATGGCACCCCCGCTTCGGTAGCCCGACGACCTGCGCGCGAAGTCGAGCACTTTACGGTAGCACAGTTTAACGAGGACCAATACCGCACACCCTCGGTCCCTACGCAGACTGATCCAAGTGGTCACCCACCCGCACACTGACCGCAGCCAGTGATGCTTGACTTCGGTGATCTGCTGGGAACCGTGTCTTAACGATCAGTCCACTGCGGGACGATCCTTCTACTACTAAAGATATTTCACGTCAACACTGTAGTCGACGTAAGCCAGATGCAGAATTCGATCAGCCATCGCCGGGATTCGTACCCGGTTCACCTCATTGGAAGGCGAAAGCTCTATCCCCTGAGTCATCACGGCTCCAGAAGAATGTTTTGAAAATATGCTGATGTTCCTGTACATTCTAAGCCACATTTTCTCGAGTTCCCTGAAATGTAATTTAGTAAACTTTTCCACCAACGCTCACTAGTGTACCATCTGCGTCAGAGCGTTAAAGTCATGTTCAAATGCTATTTTTATTGTACATGAATGAATTTAAACAATATGCTTCTTTTTTTAAAACTTCACAATAAATATTTTCACATACCACCCGTCTGGACCCGAACATATTACCAGAGATACGCGTACCATAGGTGGAGATAAATCAATTCTCCCCAGATTTCACTTATTTGAGTTAAACATCGAAAATCCAGTTTATTTCTTTTTCCCCCATCAATTTTACGAACGTCCGAAACCGCCGGTTGAGTTGATTTTAATTTACATGACCTATTTCTAATCCTCCCAAGTTGCATCATACCGGTAGATTAGTTTATTTTATTTTTTTAGTTGAAATAATTGTTTTTACTACGTATTGTTACAGCGGAAGCATGCATGCAGCGAAAAAAAGAAGTATTTACGATGCTACGGAATATTGGTTTGTCTGCATACAATGAAGTCATTAGACATCCCAAATTCTTGCTAGCCTTGATATAAGTTTGAAAAATGAGGAAACACTTTGTTTCAATCATTTTATTATCGTTGCACCGAAGAGAAAGAATTGAATAATTACATTTTATTGGCAATAAAACAAATTTGCTTGTCAAATAACACGAGACTTTTATATAAGAGAACATAGAAAGCTAAAATATTATAAATATACATTATTGTGTTTTCTCCGATTATTTCGATATAGAGATTAAAGGTTTAACTAAAGTTCAAATATTTAAAAGGTTTATATAAGCGAGATCAATGTTAATGCGAATTCTTGGTACGGAGTAACTGTTTCAGGGTACGACCTACTTTTTTGCGTCGATTATAAATAATATATAATAATATTAATTTTATTAAATATACAATACTGGTGTTAAAAAAAATCTGATTTCTGCTATTAATTCAAGAAGAAAAAGAAAACTGTCCGTAATTTATACTACTTATTATTAGTTAATATACAATGATTCAAGAGGACGAAATATACTAATTAATAAGAGCAAATGATATTTTAAGTTACGAAACCAAATACAGAAACGTACTTTCTGTGTTTAAATATACCTTTTTTACGATTAGTATTTCTGACGCCCTAAATATAGGGAATATAACCGCAATCTGGTAAGTACTGTACCAATAGTTTGGTCAGGAGAACGGTCTAAGGTTTGGACTAGAAATCGAATCTTAAAATTCGTATTTTTTAAATTTGATTTCTCAGGAACTATTCGACCGATTTCGCTTAAATTTTGTTGCCATGTAAAAATCAATTCTTTTTTAAAGGAGGGAAAAACTATATGCTTTACAGTTGAAAGGTTTTCCAAGTATTATTAAAAAAATAATAAATATTTAATAGTTATTTTTCGCATGGAATTATCCTTGAATAAACGAATTTTATAATTGTGCGCGAAATTTTTTCAATTCGCTTAAAAAGTTCTCGAGATATGGGGGAATACGCAAAAAATAAAATTAACATTAACTGGTCTAAACTTTGGACAGCACTCCTGGCCAAACTATTGGGACCATATTTCCTAGATTGCGGCTACCTTCTATATTTTGGGAGTCAATTATTCCGAATCCATCGAAAAAAAGGTATGTTTAAACGGAGAAAGTACGTTTTTGTGCTTGATTTCGTAACTTAAAACATCGTCTGCACTTATTAATTATCATATTTGAGGTACTCCGTGGAACAATTAAGATTGTGTCCTAAAACATGAGGATCCAATAATTAGATCGAAAGTTATTAAGAAAGATCCGTTTTTAATTTGAACACTGTACTTTTGTGCTTATAAGTTATACCCCATATTTTTACATTATGGTTTTATCTGTATAAAACTACACAGTCAGAACTCAATGATCCAGAATGAATACTCCTTTACTTTATTTGCATTCCACCATCTTATCAAAACACCAGGGAATTCAAGTAAAAGATTAATGGGAAAAGGCCTGCACACGACCTCAGATGCCCAGATATTTAATAGAGTTATGTTCAGTTCATTAAACTAAAGAAAATGTGCTAGCAAAAGTCGTTAATTTTAATCTCTTTCAGTAGATTTGCATTGCCTTTACTACCATTAGGAAAAATATTTTCTGAACTACTATGATTCCGTAGTC